ATATATATATATATATATATATATATATATATATATATATATATATATATGAGTATAATATATATAATATATATATGTATAATTAAGAGAAATATATATAATAAAAATAATATTTAAAAACTACATTATATTTTCAAACATTTATATTTAATAATTGCGTTCCATGAAAATATTTTTATTTACAAATGTTAGAAAATAAAAGTATTTGTATAGTACGCAATTATTAAATATAAATATTTGAAAATATAATTTAGTTTTTAATTACATATATAATAATATGTAATATATATAAATTGAGTTCCATAGGAATATTTTTATTTGCAAATGTTCGAAATAAAACTATTCTTATGGAACGTAATTGCTAAATGTAAAAATGTTTGCAAATATAATTTAGTTTTTAATTAGATATTTTCAAACATCTATACTCAATAATTGTATACCGTAATTTCTACACATTTGTTTAAGTAATCGTAAAACTTGCTATGAGAACATTGGTCTTCAAGATCGTATTTCAACAATTACTGGTAGTCGATTTTTCACAGGATCGATTTCACTTAATTTCGAATTTTAATTTTGACATTTTCCGCTAACCGGAGTGGAAGATCGAAACGCTTTCGTCCGCGAGCCAAACGAAATCAGGAAGGATAAGGAACAGCTGATGATAACGAGCAGCCAGAACCCGAAGAACGAGACCGGCGGCACCGGAGGCGTGACGGTAATTGTATATTCCTCGGTAAAAAGGGGTTACGTTTAGCAGATAAAATCAATGATAAACGACACGTCGCGCTCGCCGGCCGCGCGAATTTCGTTGAAACGCGAGCAGCCGTGCAACCCCCGACCCTGAGTACGCGATTATTCATCCCCGAGATCCTGTTGTCGTCGACTTAGATTGATTAACGTCCGCCGATTAACTCTTTTTACTATTCCAGGCCACTTAGGTTCGTCACTCCGGAGATCGGACAGCTTCGAACATCCACGAGATATTAACCCTTTGCACTCGATCGAAGTATATTTTTGCATATTTTTGCACGATTTTACTGTCTTTTTTTCTATAAAGCTTTTCTATGAATTGTATTAACGAACAATGAGCAATGAAGTTCACTTTTTTAACATTCCTATAGAAAACTGTTTTTATGGAGTACAATTATTAAATATAGTTTGAAAATGTAACTAGGGGTCACTGAATTTTATATTATTTAATAAGCACTTGTTGCGACTAAAGATATTATAAACAACGGAATTTATTTTTACGTTAGAAATAAAACTGTAACAATCACCCCCCAATAATTATTTACACAAATTTTCTAGAGTTCTTTATCATTTAATAAACGTTTGTTTGCTAGTGAAGATGTTATTATAAATTTGCGCCTATAAAATTTACTTTTCCATCGGAAACGGATTTCTTTCGATTTCATAATATTCATAGAAAAATCGTCTACAATTTTACACGAAATCGTAGAGCCTTCCTAAACACATTTACAACATAAATTCGCTACTTACTTGCCAGCAGATGATTTCTACAGTTCGGAGTACGGTGATCTGTTCTTTGAACACCGAAGCCTCATGAGACACACCTGTCCTGGTCACCGACACGTCGTCCACTAACAATTTCGAATGCAACGGATAATAACTATGCAAAATGCGGCCGGTTAGACGGCGAAGGCCCGCCAAAAGGAGCGGACCAGAACTGATCGGCCCTGAGGATTAGGTTCGGATAGTCCTGGCTCTCACAGGTGATACTAATAAAACAGAGATATTTTTTTCCCCGGTGTGCTCAACCTAAATCCATTAATTAAGACCGCATTTCAACGGCGAAAAACACGTTTGGCAACTTGCACCTAATGCCGCATATCGGTATTGCGTAACAGGTCACTTGAAATGCTCCCGCAAGAAAGTCGCTGCGTTCACACCCAGGGTGCTATGCGTGTGTAGTGTGTAATCTATGTTCGAATGAAAAGGAAGACAATCATTGTGCAACTATAAATCCCGTCGAATGAGACGAAAATTCGATTTCTTGTTTCCACGCGAGAATTATGGAATTGTATCGCTTTTTTTACATGTTTCTCGGATATATCCTTCTGGACGAATTCGAAACAAATTCGGCAGGAATTCTGAAGAAATTCTGAACGAATTCGAAACAAATTCAGCAGGAATTCTGAAGAAATTCTGGACGAATTCGAAACAAATTCGAAGCAAATTCGACAGGAATTCTGAACAAATTCTAAACGAATTCGAAACAAATTCTGAATGAATTCGAAATAAATTCTGAAGAAATTCGAAACAAATTCTGAACGAATTCGAAATAAATTCTGAAGAAATTCTGAACGTATTCGAAACAAATTCGAAGCAAATTCGAAACAAGTTCCGAAGGAATTCAAATTTGAAACAAATTCTGAACGAATTCGAAACAAATTCTAAAGAAATTCTAAACAAATTCGAAGCAAATTCGAAACAAATTCCGAAGGAATTCAAATTCAAAGCAAATTCGAAACAAATCCCGGATGAATTCTGCTTAAATTCGAAACAAATTCTGAAAAAATTCTGAACGAATTCGAAACAAATTCCGTAGGAATTCTGAACGAATTCGAAACAAATTCTGAAGGAATTCAGATCAAATTCGAAACAAATCCCGGCTGAATTCTGCTCAAATTCGAAACGAATACTGAAGAAACTCTGAACAAATTCACGCGCCACCGCGAACAATCGTACAATTAAAAAACAAGAGCGTGTCCCAGTGTGAACTCTCTGCGAAAGCAGCGAGTGGTTCCGATTTATCACGATCGTTCGCAGGAGGATGATTTATCAGCGTGAAAGGCCCGTGTCCCGACGAGGTGAAAGGACGGCCGGGATAAAATTGCGGGAAACAAATGGATCTTTGAGCGCGCAGCGCGTATCAGAACAATGCACGTAGATTTTCCTCGTGGGACTATACAGCGCATACAGCGACGCGTATCGACGTGCTTAAACGGTGCGGAAGTCTGTATCGAGTTCAGATTAAGCTGGCGGTCGTGCAGCATCGGTATCTTGATTTAATAAAAGTAAGCCGTACAAATCGTATACCGTAAATCGTATCGACGACGTCCCGTATCATGCGAATCGCGTGTCCGTCGCTTTCGTTCGTGGTTCAGCAATCGAAAAGCTTGCTCGATTATTCCAGCGAAAAATCGGCGCACGATCTTCTTCTCCTTTTATTTATCTTTCTTGCTTTTTTTAAATTTTCTTTATTTCGAATTACATTCATATTTAATATTCAATATTTAATGCTTCTATTTTATGATTATATTTATTAAAATGTTTTTAATTTAATATTTAATATTGTTATAATATTATATATGTATACATAATAATATTATAATATAATATATAAATATATTATGATATATTATATTCTGTATTATTGATATATTTAATATTACTCGTTCGTCCGATGACTCATATTGGTTGAACTACGAACAATAGATTCCATCCAATGATTTATGACACGATCTAACGTAATCCTAGAATTTTCCTACCGAGTTTAGGCGTTCGAAGATGCGTTAAAGAACGCGAGAAACGACGAGGACGAGTGGAGAAGAACGATTAAATATTTTCTTTTTATTTCGACTGAGTCTTAGTCCCTCAGGCCGCTTACAAGTATTAAAATAACGCCCGACCTATTACAATCAAGTAACAAAATACAATACACCTAAATTAATTAATTAATTAATAGTGGTAGGTTGACGCGGTGACTCCCCTTTAACCCTTCACTCCAGCCTTGGTGTCTCTGTAAAGAAAGGAACCTCGTTCATCTTCAAATTCGTTATTTTATAATAATTTTATAATAATTATATAATTATATAATTATAATTTTATAATAATTAATATTCGTTCGAACTCGATCGGATCTCGATTTACAGCGAGATCACGGTCACGCGAACATATTCGAGTATATTTTTATATTATCCGAACCATTTTCACATTTAAATTGTTCTATCGAAGAAGTTACGACCGCTACCACGTGCTATGTATTATACGCGTACTGTATAATACATTTACCGAATAATATACGTGTAATATACTATATGTATAATATAGTGCGGATCTCACCTTGCCAGGTTTTTGCTACCGACAATTTTGCACTTAGCACGGCCAACGATACCGTACTGGTACCCGCACAAGCAATCCTCCTCGAGTTCTGTGTGAATGAGCCCTGCGGCGATCTTCTTTGCGACCACTTGGGCGAATTGCTTCTTCTGTTTCGGGCTGGCATGCGCCAAGTTATCCAAATTGAACGCTGCACCGCCCGACTGCAACAGACCATATCGAACAATTTATTCATTTATTTATTTATTGATTTATTTACCTATTTATTTACCTGTCTATTTATCTATCTATCTGTTCATTTATTCATTCATTTACTTATCTATTTATTTATCTATCTATCTATTTATTTATTCATTCATTTATCTATCTATTGATTTACCTATTTATTTATCTATCTNCCCGCACAAGCAATCCTCCTCGAGTTCTGTGTGAATGAGCCCTGCGGCGATCTTCTTTGCGACCACTTGGGCGAATTGCTTCTTCTGTTTCGGGCTGGCATGCGCCAAGTTATCCAAATTGAACGCTGCACCGCCCGACTGCAACAGACCATATCGAACAATTTATTCATTTATTTATTTATTGATTTATTTACCTATTTATTTACCTGTCTATTTATCTATCTATCTGTTCATTTATTCATTCATTTACTTATTTATTTATTTATTTATCTATCTATTTATTTATTCATTCATTTATCTATCTATTGATTTACCTATTTATTTATCTATCTATCTATTTATTTATTCATTCATTTATCTATCTATTTATTTATTCATTCATTTATCTATCTATTGATTTACCTATTTATCTATCTATCTGTTCATTTATTCATTCATTTGCTTACCTATTTATTTATCTATCTATCTATTTATTTATTCGTTCATTTACCTATCTATCCATCTATCTATCTATTTATTCATTCATTTATTGACCTATCTATTTATTTATTTAAAATGCATCTAAACGAGTTATCCAAACGAATGCATCCAAATAAATTACCGGCAAAAGCGGCGAACCTAAATGATCTTATGTCAGGGGGAGAAAAACAGAAAAAGAAAAGAAAAGGTGTACCGCATCGTAGAGTGTCAGTGAACATTGTTTTTGTCAGCAGGCAATGGCCACTTGTTGAACACTTACGGAAACCGCGAAGTCAGCGCAGACGTCGCCCTTCTCGCTGGCGAGATTATTGTTCCTGTCGTCCACCGAGTACGCTTTGTCCTGGTCGTATCCGGTTGGGTAAGACATGTGATAATAAGTGAGCCCGAGGTCCCGGTAAGTTTTCAGTCCAAGCATCAGCCTTATATGTTGCAGCTGAAACAAACGTAACGATTCGTTCTAATCTGCGACGTCCAATCTGTGTAAAATATTAATGACGCGGCATCGAATCGACCAAAACGATTGCAGCTGATTCTATTTCTCAAGTGTTATCAATGCCTCTTCTATACTCGCACCCCAATCTATCCGAAAATCCATCCTACTAGTCTCAGTAACTGGTCCAAAATTTTGCTGTCGACCTAGAGGGACCAGTTACGGAGACTAATGGGATTGATTTCTGAAGAGATTTCAAAAATCCAGAAAATAAATTCTACTAGTCTCAGTAACTGGTCCAAAATTTTGCTGTTGACCTAGAGGGACCAGTTACGGAGACTAATGGGATTGATTTCTGAAGAGATTTCAAAAATCCGGGAAATGAATTCTACTAGTCTCAGTAACTGATCCAAAATTTTGCTGTCGACCTAGAGGGACCAGTTACGGAGACTAATGGGATTGATTTCTGAAGAGATTTCAAAAATCCGGGAAATGAATTCTACTAGTCTCAGTAACTGGTCCAAAATTTTGCTGTTGACCTAGAGGGACCAGTTATTGAGACTAGTAGAATTCATTTCCCGGATTTTTGGGATCTGTGCGGAAATCAATCCCACTAGTCTCAGTAACTGGTCCCAAATTTTGCTATCCACCTAAGTGGACCAGTTACTGAGACTAGTAGAATTCATTTTTCGGATTTTTGGGATATGTCTGGAAATCCATCCCACTAGTCTCAGTAACTGGTCCCTCTAGGTCAACAGCAAAATTTTGGACCAGTTACTGAGACTAGTGGAATTGGTTTTCTGTATTTTTCGGATCTCTTCAGAAATCAATCCCACTAGCCTCAGTAACTGGTCCATAGTCATAGTATTGAACAAATCTGCACCAGTTACTGTGGCTAGTAGGATTCATTTTCGGAAAAAATGAGAATACCAGTGTAGGTTTCTTACTCTATGTAAAAATATCGCTAAAATGAATAGTTTATTAGTAATTATCAAATGGTCAGTCCACCACCTACGCATCTGCGATGAACTAAATTTGTACATGACCAGACTTCATGCGCCCTTCTGATATTCTTACTTTCGCGAATCCTCTAGCGGATCCCGGCTGATCCCAGAGTATCTATAGGATGTCCCCCAAAATGATAGTACTTCCAGACCGAGGTCATTGGAAGCAACACTTATTCCTTTACAAAAATGTTCCCACAAAAGTTTTCCCAAACTTTTTCCCACCCTTTCTCTATCGATTCAATCGCATCTTGCCGGTCGTGAACATAATTATGGAACACCCTGTATATCGATAGACAGCTTGTCCAAGAACGCTACTTACGGAAATCGGTAGCGGGCTCTTCTCGCAGGCGAAAGCGTGGACGCCGACCACAGCCTTGGCTGCGCCAGGCCTGAACGGATAGCCGATGGCCTCTTCGTGGGCGTCCGTGAGCTTCAGGGTGCCCAATTCAACGTCCAGCCTCTGTTTGGCGTACATCAGAGGGAGCATGATTGGCCCCATCGAGTTTCGGAGTTCCCGCAGTCCGTTCACCACTTCCTGGAAACGATCGTTTTTCTTCGGTGAGTAGCGCAAAAACCAGGAACGAATCGGCCGTCTAATCGCGAGCAAGATGGTCGAACGCGCGTCACGCACCGTCTAAAACGTGCTCGTCTATTTCCGGCGCCGTTTTGCATAACCAACCGGCATGATTAATGATGTTGTTCGCCTTACAAATAGCGGCTACATTTTGCAGCGACGCGGATTCTTCGGTGCCGGCGATCCAGGAGAAAACGATCGCCCAGTGATCTCAGATTGTCCATTTTTTTGTAAAATTTGAGCCTCGATTAGGGAGAATTTACCGTTATTTGTTGGGCCGAGTCATAAATAACTTCCATTTTCCTATCAGATTATTATTATATAATATATAATATTAATGTAACAATATTATAATATTAATATAATAATATTATAATATTAATATAATAATATTATAATATTAATGTAATAATATTATAATGTTAATATAACAATATTATAATGTTAATATAACAATATAATAATATTAATATAATATATTATTATTATATATTATATATTTTGTTTCTTTCATTTATTCATTTATTTTGTATTTTATTGGATTTTGAATCATTGTCTATTTATCTATTTTTAAATAAGCCTGCAGATTTCTCAACAGGCCGGTAAACGATCAATTTACCCCGAAAATTTCACTGGATATTTTCGGCCGTCTGCTCGAGTTAACCTTTTTTTTCATTCCGGACCGCGCGAGTTAACAGAAGCTTTTAACAGTTGGCGAAGCTTTTAACTTTCCGGAGACCGTGCAATTCGTGCACTCTTTTCGATTATCCGAGCAACCGCGACTCGAAAAGATTGAACGGCAAACGGTGAATTTAATCGCCAAGCCGCGCCGGTTCCGTGATTGACGGCCGTTTGCGCGGATCAGCGCGGAAAAACGGCGATTAGGCTCGCCCAATCGGCCAGTAGAGCTAGACGAATGTTTAATCGCGATCGCAACAAGTTCTGACTCAACGTGCTTCTACAGCTGAGAGAAAAAAGAGACCGTATCGGTCGGCGATTTAAATTCTCGCGATCGTTAACGGAGCCGCGTGAACACGTGTTCCTCTGAACGCGTGTCATCCGGATCCTGACGACCGTCTTTGGCCGTGGGACGAACGTCGATTGGCAAACAGACGGATGCTCGACGAGACCGAAAACCCGTGTTCGCCGGCAATCTGATCGTCGAAGGGATTTATTTCGATCTACTTTTTCCCCGATAAAGATTGCGAGAAGGAAGAATCCTGTTCAAACATTTACTCCGATTGTTGGCGGAAGTTGCAACGTCGCAGATATTTGCTCGGATTATTTACGAAATTCGTAGAACAGTGGACATCCGTTCACTCTCACATTCGCGAGTTCTGACGCAATTAATGCATTATATAATGCACAGGGTGTCCGAAAGTTACTCAAAATCTGGAGGTGAGGGGTTCCTTGGGCGATTTGAAGCAACTTTTTCCTTAGCGAAAATGCAATTCAAGGCTTCGTTCACGAGTTATTAACGAAAAACGGTGACCAATGAGATGCGAGCGCGCGAGGCAGCCGAGTCAGTGGGCCGGGCTACGCTTCGCTCGCTCGTTGGCTGGGCCGCCCCGCGTCAGCTGCGCGCTCGTCTCTCATTGGTCACCGTTTTTCATTAATATCTCGTGAACGAAGCCGCGGATCGCATTTTCGCAAAGGAAAAAGTTACTCGAAACCAGGAACCCCTCACCTCCAGATTTTGAGTAACTTTCGGACACCCTGTGCATTATATAATGCATTAATTGCGTCAGAACTCGCGAATGTGAGAGTGAACGGATGTCCACTGTTCTACGAATTTCGTAAATAATCCGAGGAACCCGTCGTATCTCTGAGATACTATAATAATCTCGGGACACTTCGATGATAGAACTGTTTTACTATTCGAGTAGAATAATGCCTGATTCGCTAATTCGGATGACCGAGGTTCCACCGTAACTAAAAAAAAAAAAAAAAAAAAAACAGCAAGCGAAATTACCTGGAATGAGGCTTTGGGATCTGTTCCGCGGAACTTGATGTTCTTCAACTCGCCGGTGATGTTGGTCTCTCCGTTGAACGTGTAGTGTTGCGGCCATGGCATGTTTTCAGCGTATCCAATCAGACCGATGTGCACGTCTCTGCGAACACGCGAGGAGTTTCATTTGCGATTACATTACAATCTGCTGTAATTGAAGATACTTCTTTTTGTCACGCTATCCGCGTGTCTCCGATCGAGCTTTGCTCGCGCCTAACCGAGGAAAGATCAGTGAATTTCGAGAGAAAAAAGATCCGCTTTTCAGGAAACACTTGATGATAGTTGCAACAGCGGCGATGAGATTTCGACGACAAGTGTGCAACGAGAATTTTTAGAATTTCGCAGACGTACTTGACGAAGTTGGAAATGAAATTTGATATCTTTGGAAGAATTCTTGGAAAGAATCGATCGCTTCAACGGATTAAAAACAAGGCATTGACGTTCTTCGACTCGTCCGATCGTTCCATCTCGAATCATCGCAACCGCGTTCCATCGAGAAAAAGAACTATTACTCACGGTATTCCTGCCTGCTTCAGCTCGTCCCTGACCAGAGTAATCAGGTGCGTGATCACATCCTTGTAGACTTGGTCGTTCGGCAACGATTGCTCGAGCACTATCACGATGTCGGCCTCCTTCTTCGGGATCTTTACGCTGAAGGTGTCGCCGATGCCGATCGTCGATGCGCCGACTTGGCAGTTCGCTGGAATTCGAGCGAGGAACAACGTTTTGAAATTCGTCAGGGGCGAGATGTTCGCATCGACCGAACACGTTCGTTGCCGGAGCTGTCCTTTTTTTATTGTCGAGCGACCCGGCACGGTTGATATCGAGGGAGGAGAACTTACCGCATGGCGGTGGCACGCTGGTAGTTTTAATGCCGGCGGAGTAGCAGGCATAGTGATAAGCCGTGGCGATCAGACAAGCTCCATAGGCAGGGTCAGCGGCCACTGCGTGGTCGCAGGCCTCGCGATATTGACTCGGGTTCACATACTTGAAGCAGGACCTGCAATCACGTTTTATTCGCCGTTAACGGCTGCTCGAAACCTTTCGCCCTTCGCAACTAGTTATCCCCGGAATTTGCTTCCCCCGCGGCTTAACGGAACGCCTCCAAGTTAATCGACCGGTTAGCCGTTGCAATCGCTTGATGTTTGAGTGTTGATAATAGCTATATTTATAACTGTATTTATGGTTATATTTGTTAGTTATAGTTACATTAAAGCGATATTATTGCTTACTTGAGGGTGGAGCTTTGGCCAATGAAGTAGTCCGTGCAGACTGGGGCACGATCTTTGTGCTCGACAGCAGTCGCAGCTGGACAGTCGCCCTTCAGTTTGTATGCATTTCCAAAATCGGTTCCACTTTCGGCGATCTAATGAACGATATTAAACGAATTCACGTTAGATTCGATTTCGATGGTCTCGGAAAACAATCTAGAAGTACCTTTGACTCGCGAATTTATCTTAAAAAGAAAGGCGTACTTGATTTGAAAACGGGCGAACATGATCTAAGCAAATGAATTTGATCTAAAAGGGTGAACTTGATTTGAGAAGCTGAACTTGATTTGAGAAGATGAGCTTGATTTGGAAAGCTGAACTTGACTTGAAACAATGAGCTTGATTTGAAAAGCTGAACTTGACTTGAAACGATGAGCTTGATTTGAAGAGCTGAACTTGACTTGAAACAATGAGCTTGATTTGAAAAGCTGAACTTGACTTGAAACGATGAGCTTGATTTGAAGAGCTGAACTTGACTTGAAACNTCGCTTGATGTTTGAGTGTTGATAATAGCTATATTTATAACTGTATTTATGGTTATATTTGTTAGTTATAGTTACATTAAAGCGATATTATTGCTTACTTGAGGGTGGAGCTTTGGCCAATGAAGTAGTCCGTGCAGACTGGGGCACGATCTTTGTGCTCGACAGCAGTCGCAGCTGGACAGTCGCCCTTCAGTTTGTATGCATTTCCAAAATCGGTTCCACTTTCGGCGATCTAATGAACGATATTAAACGAATTCACGTTAGATTCGATTTCGATGGTCTCGGAAAACAATCTAGAAGTACCTTTGACTCGCGAATTTATCTTAAAAAGAAAGGCGTACTTGATTTGAAAACGGGCGAACATGATCTAAGCAAATGAATTTGATCTAAAAGGGTGAACTTGATTTGAGAAGCTGAACTTGATTTGAGAAGATGAGCTTGATTTGGAAAGCTGAACTTGACTTGAAACAATGAGCTTGATTTGAAAAGCTGAACTTGACTTGAAACGATGAGCTTGATTTGAAGAGCTGAACTTGACTTGAAACGATGAGCTTGATTCGAAAAGCTGAACTTGATCTAAAAAAAGTGAATTTATATCGAAGGAGAAGAATCTAATACGAGAAAATCGCGGATATAATTCCCAAGAAACCCCTATCATGCCATAAAATTGTTTAATATTACATTTAATTACAATGAATGCTTTCTTCTAATAAACGTGTATTGTAATAGATTTACTCGACAGAACACGATTCGCAGACCGGAGAAGAATTCTCGAATATAACTCGCGTCGGTTCGAGTTGCCCGATGTATGTAACCCCTTAATCTGTTTATCCCTCTGACAATCAATCCCACGAAAGCCCCTGGCGGAGCCTAGGGGTCAATTAGCGCGAGGAACCGAACGGAACATTGCCCCCTGGAAGATCGAGAGATACCCCAGGTTTCGCACGTGAGCTTCGAATTTCCTGTTTCCAGGAACGCCACGTCGGATCCGGGGACGGATGCGGTGCTGGTGCCATTTAGAGTCGTACACACATATACACGATTTTCTATATCGATGGAAAAATTGGTTTCGATGTCGTAGAAATAATTCTGTCACATTTTCAGCCAATATGTTCATGCAACTGAAATATGGTCCTTGGAAAAGTAGCTATCTTTTTTGGAAATTTAATCCTTGGAAAAATAGCTTTTAAACTGAAATCTTCCTTGGAAATATGACCACTGAAAAAATGATCCTTGGAAAAATAGCCTTCAAACTGAAATCTTCTTTCGAAATTTAATCCTTGGAAAAACGACCTTTGAGAAAATAGCCCTTGGTTAAATAATCTTTGGAAAAATAGCCTGACGATAATAAAAAATAACTGAGACGTTCTTTGGAAATATGATCCCTGGAAAAATTGCCCTTCGAAAAATAATCCTTGGAAAAATGGTCTTCGGAAGACTGGCCCTTGGAAAAATGATCTTTGGAAAACTAGCCCTTTGGAAAAATGATCTGTGGAAAAATAGCCCTTGGAAATATGGTATTCGGAAGATTGGCCCTTGGAAAAATAGCCCTTTGGAAAAATGATCTTTGGAAAAATAGCCCTTTGGAAAATGATCTGTGGAAAAATAGCCCTTGGAAAAGTGGTCTCCGGAAAACTGGCCCTTGGAAGAATGATCTGTGGAAAAATAGCCCTTGGAAAAATGGCCTTCGGAAGACTGGCCCTTGGGAAAATGATCTTTGGAAAAATATCCCTTGGAAAAATATCCTTCGAACTGAAATCTTTGGAACTACGACCCTTGGAAAAGCGATCATTGGAAAACTAGCCCTTAGAAAAACGATCTTTGGTGAAATAACCATCAATCTGTATTCTTTGGAACAACGACCCTTTTAAAAGTGGCCATATGAAAACTAGCCCTTGGAAAAACGATCTTTAAAGAAATAGCCCTTGGAGGAACAGTCCTCGTGGAAATAGCCCTTGGAAAATTAGCTCCTAGAAAACTGGCGTTCGGAGAAACGTCCGCAGAAGGAACAGTCCTCGGTAGAACGGTGAAAATGGTCGCTGTCGTGACATACCTTTCCAGATGGTAGAGTAAAGTCGTCGTAGGGCTCGTTGTTGCCATCGCCTAACAGGCCACGCATTCTGCCGTGGTAGAAACCGGAAACACGGACGGCGCAGACCATCGGCGCCTTGCGCGTGCACGTGATGCGAACACCATAATCGGACTTGACACTGCCGAACGGATATTCCAGGTACGCGTGCAGGTTCTCCGTGCTCGCTGGGAAATCGGCTCGTTTGTTGTTCACCAGTATCTGGAAGCGTAATCGCGATCCTATTGTAACACTGAAAATAACGGCGGCGCGAGTCTCGACCAATCTTTCTAATTTCAGCCGACCCTTCGAGGATTAATGTCAACTGGCGTGTACAAGTAGATTTTAGAAGTAGATTGCGGATATTTATGCAGAATAAAAATTGCCTGCATCAATTCCAAGAAGTAGAAGCTAAATAGAAAGTTCTTTCTTCTTTAAACAATTTTAGTAGATTTTAGTAGTAAATAATATAGTGACACTTCTAAATTCCTCCAATTATTCTACCTCTATTTTAAATTGCAACTACTCGTCTTTGTTGTAAATGCATCAAATCCGCGGTGAATGCATTATAAATCCAACGATTTTTTTACGTATCAAATTATTATACGTTCACGTGAATTGGATATGAACTTCATTCGGGCTATTTTATTTAGCTCGTTGAAATTATAAATTGCGTGATAGACGATTCATATTAATCAATAAAAGTACAATTAGTTATATACGTAAGGATAACATCAGCGACGTCCATTTTGTTCTTTTAATACAGCATCTCCTGTCTCATAGAATTTAATCGGGGAAATTCTAATGCATTACAAGATTAATTAATTAATTTATGGGAATTCAGAGAATATATTCGTTGGAGATTAATGAAACAATAAAATATTGAGCGCGATAAAAAGACGTCGAGAAGCCGAACAAATATTTTGCAAATAGATATTATGAATAATAAGAGAACAAGGAGAACGGTACTCACGTTTCCATTGGACTTGAGTGTCATGCTCTCTTCGGGCGCGGTGATAGAGAGGGAGGCCAGACTGCCGTGGTTGAAGTTAGCTACCACCGAGAAGTTACCGTCTTGCATGTCCTGGGCAAGGATGTAGGAGCAGGTGCCAGGCAGTGTCAGATGACGACCGTCGAACGTGAAGAAGTGTCCTCCGTCGGTGACCACGCCTGCTTTGCTGAACGGTGGAATGATGTCGGATAGATACAGAGTTGGTCTGTAACGAAGTATACATATTATGCATTATATTATATTATTTATATATATTTACTATATATGTATATTATTTATATGTTATTTATCTACATAATTATTTATATATGTTATTTGTCTATATAATTATTTGTATATATTATTTATCTACATAATTGTTTATATATGTTATTTATCTATATAATTATTTACATGTGTTATTTATCTATATAATTATTTATATATATTATTCATCTATATATCATTGATATATATATATATATATATTATTCATCTATATATCTATATATCATATCTATATATCAATGATATATAATTGAATAAACTGGAATAATAATAATAATGGAATAAATAAACTGGAATAATAATAACTCCAATAATTGAATAAACTGGATAGGCGTATCCACTAGCGTTTCACGAGCTTCGCAATGTCGCAAATACAACCAAAATCCACGATCTAATCGCGAGATTCAATTCGACGGTTTATACCGTCGCGTTTAATTCGGATTTGATTCGGTTCTAATTCCTGTAATTCCTGTTTTACCTGTAAGCGTAGTACAGATCCATGAGCGTCGGCAGCTCCTTGTTGCGCAACAAATTCCAGGTGGACAGCTGGGCGATGGGAATGGTCGGGATCTCGGACAGAAAGCCGAAATTGAAGGGCGACTGGAATTTCAGGGAGCCCAACACGTCTTCGCTCGCCCCGATATGCGTCACTATATAGAGGAGCGATTTGATCGCGTTCTGTGCTTTCGCGCTGATCTCCTTCATCGCGTCCATTGGATCGATCTGGAAACGAAGACATCGATAATCGTAAGTCGAAATTTCTCCAAACAAATTCCGACACAGATAATGCAAACAATTGTGCCGGTTATTTCGAAAGTGACTCGAGCGCATTCCCGAGATCATTCGAAGTAACTTTTTCCTTAGCGAAAATGCAATCCGCGGCTTCGTTTACGAGTTATTAACGAAAAACAGTGACCAATGACAGGCGAGCGCGCGGCGGCCGTGCCAGTGGGCGGGCGGAGCTCAGTTCCGCCCACCGCAGCTCATCGGTCACCGTTTTTCCTTGGTAACTCGCGAACGAAGCCGCGGATCGCGTTTTCGCAAAGGAAAAAGTTGCTTCAAATGACCCGAGGAACCCCATGTTACCCGAAAATAGCATAACTTTGTAACACCCTGTTCAACTTCATTTCAGCAACCCTTAGAAACACAATAACATTATGCTACCATGCCATCGGTTACCAATACTTTCGAATTTATCAAAACGCGAAATCCTTAAATATCCGAACTCTAAAATAAGCTAATCGTTTCTTCGAAACAATGAAATATCGAATCCGCGATCTCACCGTTTCGTGTTTGACGAGCTTGGTGAGGTACTTGCAGAAGACCTGCGCGAGCTGTTGCAGCTCCTGAGTGGGCAGAAGGTTCTTCACGACGCTGCAGGCTTCCTCGAGCGATTTCAAAATGGCCTCCGGCACCTGGAAGTTCTTCAAGTTCTGGTATTTTTCCTTGGCGATCTCGTAAATCGGCAACGCCTTTATTTTGTCGACCAGCTCCGAGGTGAACCCATTGAGGTCGTGCGTCACCTGCTCCAAGATCTTCGACTGGGCCTTAGAGTAGTCATGGACCATGGTGGAGACAATGCTCAATACATCGTGCAGCTCCTTCTGGTGAGAATTGATCAGGTCCAGGAGCGCGTTCAGATACGTTCTCGTCAAGTTCGCGATCACGTCCACGATTTCTAAGTACTTGTTGAAGATGTTCTGGTACGACTCCTTCAGTTTCGGGTAGACCGCGTTCACCGACGCTTTAAAGCTGTCCAACAACGTGTTCAGCTGTTTCTGCAGCTTCTCCGTGACCTCGGCGACGTCCTTCAGGATGTGCGACGCGGCGCCGACCACACCGCCCAAATATTTGTTGCTTCGCGAAACAGAAAGATCGTATTTTCACGCGTTATCATTGGGCTCGTCTAATCTTTGCTCGCAGTGTACACCGACAGTGTCGTTTAATCACCGCGAGCAGCTATTCTTTAAATAAAAATATATACATCGATATCCTTAACGAAAAAAAAAATATAATAATATCTTTAATGAGGAAAAAATTTAAAAAATACAGTCACGACGGAATTTTGAATTCAGGTTTGTCCAATTTTTGCTCGCAGTGTACGCCAACAGTGTCATTTAATCACCGCGAGCAGCTATTCTTTAAATAAAAATATATACATCGATATCCTTAACGAAAAAAGATATGTAATAATATCTTTAAAGAAGAAAAAATAAAAAAATACAGTCGCGACGGTATTTTGAATTCTGGTTTGTCCAATTTTTGCTCGCAGTGTACGCCAACAGTGACATTTAATCATCGCGAGCAGCTATTCTTTAAATAAAAATATATTCATCGATATCCTTAACGAAAAAAAAATATATAATAATATCTTTAAAACAGAAAAAATTTTAAAAATACGGTCGAGACGGAATTTTGAATTCAGGTTTGTCCAATTTTTGCTCGCAGTGTACGCCAACAGTGTCATTTAATCACCGCGAGCAGCTATTCTTTAAATAAAAATATATATATCGATATCGTTAAAGAAAAAACAATGTAATAATATCTTTAAAGAATGAAGAGATGTAATAAAATCTTTAAAAAAGAAAGGAATGTAATATATCTTTAAATGAAAGAAATGACGAGGTATTGTACACTTACAACGTAGCCTGGATTTCTTTGACAGTCTCGTCAGCGTTGATTTCTTGCTTCAACTTCGTCAATTCGTTCTGATAGTACTCGAAGAGCGGCTTCAGATTAGGCTGCGCTTTCTGCAAGTGCTGCGTAAGATCCCCGGTTTCCGCGCGGATTTGATCCGCCACCCAATCCTGTGTTTCCTTCAATTTCTGTACAAGCTCGATCCTCCTGTTCTTCTGCACTTCCTGTAACGTTTGAAATCAACGTCTCGGTAATTTGAATCGCGCGAGAGACTCCCTTCAGGTTCGATCGAATTACTGTCCGCTCTATATCGAATAACGAACGATCGCGAATCATTTTCATGCAATTTTTATGGGAAACAAATTTTCAAAGTTTGATCACGCCTTCTTAACGAACTTCTCAGCTTTTCGTACGATCATTATGAAATTCGTACGGTAAAATTATTGTTAAGATAGAGAAACGTTCATCTTACGTCTTCTTCATTTCTTTGATTGAGAGGATTATATTATATATTAATATAAGAATAGAATAAGAAATTATTATTATATTATAATATATAGAATATTCAATGAGAGAACGGTGAATGCTACTTACGAATACTTCGATCACATTCGCCTTGTCGTAACTGATGTCTGGCTTCAGGAACTGTTTCTCGTCGAGATGCACCAGAACGCGGAACAGCTTCTTCTTGGCGCCGTCCTTGTACGAATCCGCGTGGATCTCGGCTAATTGGCCGAGGACTACCTGGCCGTTCACGGTCACCTTATCATTCGGCTTGTCTGCAAAGCGAACAAATTTTTCTCCATTTCTCTAGCAATTACATCCGAGAGAATAATTACATTCTCACAGCACCCGCAATCGCACGTTGTCCACGATTAATAACAAGCACGTAATCGTCATTCGAATAAGAATCGAGACAATAAAAATAATAATAAAAATAATAATAAAAATAATAATAAAAATAATAATAAAAATAGAAATAATAAAAAGTAATTCGCGCGAGTGTTCGAATGAAAACTGAAGAATTATTCCGATAAATAGATGGAACGATTTGTCACGTATAACCGTCGCTCGGGAGAAAACCATTCGAAATGCTGGTTCAAGAATTCATTTACGATTGTTCAAACAATTCGAACAAGAATAGCGAGCCTACCTTTGCAGTAAGTCACGAAATCGAAGCTGTTCAGTCCCTTGCTCTCGAGTTTCGCCACGATGGCCGGCTCGCCGAGCAGACACAGTTCTCTGCTGATGGTCTGCTGCTCCTTCGAGATCTGGTACTTCCACTCGTCCTTGATCAATACCTTGTCGGGCAACGTGACGAACAGTTCGGCCTGGCCCTTGTCCGCGGATAGCAACGCGCCCAGAGTCTTCGGTTTCTGATGGACATCGTTGTACGTGAAGAAGCTGCTCAGCTCGATCTGCTGGCTGCTGAATGCCAGGGCCGATTTCAGGTTCACCTTCAGCTGCTGGCCGCGGCTGTTCACCTCGATGTTGCTGGTGACGTTCTGGCCGTCCAGGACCTTCTGCTTCTGAACGATCGCGGTGATCGAGATCTTCTGGGACTTCTTGTCGAAGACGTCAAGGTCCAGGCTGGCGTCCAACAGACGTTCGTCGCCTGAGTGCAGCCTTCCCTTCACCGAGAGATCCTATAAAGGAAACTGTTCGTAACAAGCCCGAACACTTCGTGGGAAATGGACGACAACGTTTTATTGTTTATTATTCGAGATTATTGATGTTAATATCGATTGTTATTCGCGACGTTTTATGGAGACAATTCTTCGATGCGCCCGATTGGAAAGCTGGCGGATGAGAACCTCCCGGAGATTCAAATGCGTTTATTTTAGATTCGTTGTTGCTGTAGTGTAATATATTATAATTATATTGTACAGTATAATTATATTATACTGTGCTGTGTGACGAGTAATGATAATAATACTTATTTATATATACTGTATATAGTGTATATTATAATTACATATATATTATAGTGTACTATTATACTATATTGTGAGAAGTATACTCGTCATAACACAGTATAATAATTTGATATAATTAGTTAGATGTTTTTGGTATAATATTATTATCTATACTATATATAATATATTTTGTATTGTACTATACCATTATGCTATATTATGATGAGTATATATCCC